ATGACACTCTCTTCCTTATTTATTTTTGAAATCTTGAAATTTGTTAAAATAAACTTAACCAAATTTAATTTACAAAATTGTTATCATAATTATCCAACCAGACATGGCAACAATTTACAATATTGCAATCATTCTATGACATTGTATGAATCTAACCCATATTATATTGGAGCAATTTTATACAATAAATTACCTGCACAATTTAAAAACTTTGAAAGAAACAAGTTTTTCTGCAAATTAAAAACTTTACTTTTAAGTAAGGCTTTTTACTCCGTAAATGAGTTTTTAGCCTTTAATTTTTTGGATTGTGTCGGTTAATTTGAGCTCTTTCATTGTTTTATTGTGTTAAATGATTTTTCACCTATCCTATATCTGTAAAAGATCTCTTAGATTAAATAAATAATATTATTATTATTATTTTATGTTTATAAATATTATATTTATATTACATTTACTTTAACATATTATATAGTAATGTAATTTTACATTTTACTAAATATTTATATTTAACATTTATATACTTTATTTTGTACAGTTTATCTTATTTTATTTATTTGATAAATTGATATTCATTATTTAATATGTTGAGGCTTTGTTGCAATTTCGCCACACCAAACACTTGTTAGAATTTTCTTTCATTGTTTAACGGTGTTGGTAACGGTCGAAGGGTCGAGCCTGGAGACTTATAATTATCAATTCACCCATCTTGACAATGAATGCTAGGTAGGGTAGGGTAGGTTATTATTATTGATAATCATTTTATTTTACCATATTTGATTTGCACTGACATGTTTTTATTACTTGATTATACCTGATTGTATTTGTTATTTATGACTGTACAATTAAATTGCATAACTCTTGTCCACCACTATACCACTTGTTATTTATATATTTTATTTACCACTACCATTTATTATTGTTGCTTGTGACCTAAGTTATATTATACTTTATGTTTCACATCATTGTTGTTTGTTGCTGTACATTGATAATTGCTTTCAATTTGTATTTGCTTTTCTACACCGTCCGAGCCTATCATTTATGTAGGTGAATAATCTTGGCAATATGATAACACTGGTCTACAGTGGTTTTGTTGCCCTAGATATGAAAATGATTTTGGGTGTATTTATGCACACAATTCATGAAACTATCAATGATTTTGTAAGATTTGCTCTGATTTTTTTTTAAATCTTTATTTTCATTTTACATTACAAAAATCGGAAAAGAAGAAACAAAATAACAGATATATTTATAATGTCAGTTATGTTTTGAGAAATTAGGATACATCGAAGTAAATAAGAGGAAAATGTCGAAAATATTTTTTATATTTCCATAAAACGCCTTTTATGAGCTTTTCTTTTATACTTTTTCAAGGGACAATCTCTTTTCAAAGACCAGCAGTAATCTGCCATCATGTGACAATCCCATCGACCCTGATACCTTTCCTCCATCACTTTTAGATCTTGGTGGAACCGCTCACCCTGTTCCTCACTATAATTTCCTAAATTATCCGGAAATTTATCTAGATGATTGCGGAGATAGTGTAACTTAATACTCATATTTGCTCCTAAAGTCTGAAAGTTTGTAAGCATATTTTGCACAATTTCTTCATAATTTGCTGCTTTATGGTTACCTAGGAAATTTTCGACAACCAACACAAAACTTTTCCAAGCTTTACTTTCCGGAACAGTCATAACTTTGATAAAATCTGAGTCTTTTATCAATTGCCGTATTTGAGGACCATCAAATATTCCACCTTTCAATTTTTCCATACTAAGCTTCGGAAATTTTCTGCAAATGTAATTAAAACAATCTCCGTCCTTGTCCAACGCTTTTACAAATTGCTTTATCATACCTAACTTAATATGTAATGGTGGAAGTATGATGTTGTCTCGGCTCACCAGCGGCTCCATTATTACATTGGCTTTACCGACAGTTAAAGAATTTCTTACAGGCCAAACATCTTGTTCCCAATGAAGTTGCCTTGCTCTACTGTCCCACATACAAATAAAGCAAGGGTATTTTGTATATCCACTTTGTTGGCCAAGTAAAAAATTAACCATTTTTTAATCCACACAGATCGGCCATTGATGCTCCGAGTATTTAATTTTTTCTAAAACTAATTTTACATTTTCATATTCTTCTTTGAGTTTCGTTGAATGGGCAATTGGAATTGATGCAAATTTATTTCCATTGTGCAACAAAACGCATTTTAAACTTCTTTTACAACTGTCAATAAAAGCGCCATTCAGTAGATTTGTATTCTTTTAAACCCATGTATAGAAGCAGCTTCGCGATATCATTACAATACACCAATCCTTCATTTTCACTAAAAAATTGTAATAACTCTTTTTCTCGCGTTCTGTATGTTGTAATTGTTACTGTTGGTGCCACAGGTCTGTGGTTGGTGTCAATACTTCAATAATTCTTTCAATCTTGAGGCTAACAGTTCTGATCCTTGTTTGTTTTGTTTTGATAAATTGATATCACGTATTAAATCACTGAGTTCATTTTGAGAAAATAACTTTGACGTAGATGTTTTACCCTCCCATTCACTTCCACTGGTAGACGGTCCCGATTTCTGTGAATTTGGCAACATCATTGTTTCTGAGGGCATGCGAATGACTTTTGAAACGTATATAGGCCGAGGAAGATTTTCACTGTGTGGAACCGGACATTTCGTAGACTGTAAGTCTGGGTATCTCCACGTTTGATTTCGATTAAAACCTTTAACATCTACTACACAAAAGTAACAATCATCTAAATGATTCGTAGGCTCCATCCAGATCATAGGAATACCAAAGTCTAATCCAGAACGTTCTTCTTTTTTCCACAACCGTAAAGACTCAATACAGGAATTACAAACTTTATTAGGAACCCATGGTTTACCTAATTTGTCCATTTTGAAACCAAAATATTCAACATAAGTCTCCTTGACAAAATCTGTAATATTTCTTTTTTGTTTTTTTGGTATATAAACACCGCAAATATAACAAAATAAATCACTACAATATTTACACTTTCTTCGTGACGAACTCATATTTTAGAAAACAAGACAAATATATTAGAATGGACATTCAGTAATTGAAATAAAATATTAATCCATGTCAACTTATCCAGATTCACGTGTAAGTACTTCAATATTATTAAATAATTGAGATCTCAGCTGTTCTGTGGAGCAAGGGGTCTGAGAGTGGGAATCACGTGATGTTTGTATGCGCGAAAAAGTTGCGCAGAAGCCTAATCATGACTGGAAAATTAAATTTTATTTCTAACTATAGCCAATAATTTTTCAAAATATAATATATTAAAAAATCATGAAAATACGAGCACATTGAGAACTTTTATGAATATATTCGTAATCTGGGCACTTGAAAACATAAAAATTTGCGATGATATCCAGGGCAACAAAAAAAATATTTTTTTTTGTAGAGCTGTGTAATATAATTGATTATATTCATATGGATTACTTTGATTTTGTTGTATTATTTATATTGTTGAGATGTGCGACATATATGCATGTCTGTATTGTATATGTGGGTTTTTAAGGTTTTACCTTATTAACTTAAATCAATGATACTTTTCAAATACAAATGTTTTTATTTATATTATTAATGTACAGTAGCAATAATATTAACTCTTGTATTAATTGCCTTTATTAATAAACTTATTTTAATTTAATACTTTTTCTTTACTTTAAAATATCTTTTCAATTGCTCAAGTACTTACGTATCCAGAACCGTATTCACAACAAAAAGGGGTCCTAACTTAATTTCTTGAAACTAGACGATCACGTGTTTTGGCCAAAGGTAGTTTTTTTGTGGTTTTAATATTCTTTTTAATTATTAATGTGTGCCCCCTTTGCCCCGTTCGTTACAATATACTGAAAAGTTGAATGTCTGGGCAGGTATTCTAGGCAATTTCTAAACGACAATTTTAGAGACCACTGGATTGGGCAAAGATGACATATTGAGTGGACTGCAAGATCCCCTAATCTTTCCCCTCTGGACTTCTTTCTATGGGGCCATTTGAAGTCTAAAATGTATAAAACACAGCCAGCTTCTGCTTAAGTTCTACAAGAATGAATAACTGAAGGGTGTTAAAAAGAATAACCGCCGATATGTTGCAGAATGTTAGAGAAAAGATGGAGAATCGATTTTATTATTGCATGAATGTTAAGGAGGGCATTTTGAACAGTTTGTTAGATAAATACATTAATAATAATAATAATAAAACTTCAATTAGTAGGTATTTTTATTAAGGAATGCAAGTATAGCTTTTACTTCTAATAAAATAATAGGCTATTTCCAAGATTTTGACAAGCTGTCATATCAACGGGGATGATAATAGCCACTTCAAACTTGGAGGGTATAATCAGGGCAAGAATAGGTACCTTTAAAATAAAGTATCACTCAACTCCCCTTAAAAAATCGACGAGTGCGAGGGTTTTTGTTTTTTACGTAACACCTGAGGAAACTGGGGTGGAAACTTGCCCACCTTGTATAACGTGCTTGCTTTTGTAAAACTATAAATTTGACTTGAATTTAAAACCGCTCATCATCATGGCCAAACTGATATAAAACAAATGCTCGAATTAAAAAGTTTTTTACCTTTTCCTCTGATCTATTTTGTATGTTTTATAAAAATCGTACATCAATTATTGATATACTATTTTTATAAAACATACAAAATAGATCAGAGGAAAAGGTAAAAAACTTTTTGATTCGAGCATTTGTTCTCGATAAAAAAAAGTATAAAACACTTCAACTAGGTACCTTTGAAAATTTTTGAATAAAGGTTGCCATCAAGAGTATGTATTGAAACTTAATAATGGCATCCTTTTTATGTTTATATTACGATAACACAATTTTTTAAAGATAATGATTTGCTTTTCAAAAAGGGAAATGGAGTTTGTTGTAACTAAATGTAGCGTCTCGATAGACATGGTCAAACAATTTGTTTTAAGTATCGGTCTTGTATTTAATTAAATGAGAGTCACTTACAGCAGCAACACTAATAGGACGTGTAGAAGGACGACGAGCGTATTTCCGGTCCATTTGTCGTAGAAATTCGTGGTCGAACCGGTTGTAGAAAACTCTTCGTCCAGGCGTCGAATGTTGCCGCGACAGCACAATTGGGCACTGATTGCGAACGGCAATCCAATTGATAACATCGCCCAGAACAAGATCCAACCAACCACTACCATTTCCAGTTTAAGCACCTGAATTATTTAAGAAAAGTGTTTAAACAAATGTATTTTAATAAAAACTAAAATTATATATATAAGCATATATGCTTCTTTTTAAAGAACAGTTGGATCAATAAGAATGTAAACTTAATACTTAATCCCTAAAAACTATTACTAAACTAAATTAAAAATATTGTTGTTTTAAAACATTTTTTACAAACTAATAATTATTAATTTAAAATTTAAAAATAAATTTTATTAAGTGACTTTCGAATTTTAAATGGCTCTACTATATTTTTCAAAAAATTTTAAAAATCTAATTTTTATTGATATTGAAATTTAGATCAAAATTATATACTATATTGTATACTGAGGATATGTACCAAAGCTGTTATTTTTTACTTATTAAACAATAAAAATGCGGCTTAAAAAAAATAAGGCAAATACTGTCACCGGTTTTTTATGCTAAAGTAACAATAATTGTTAAATAATACGAATTACGTAAATTTGATACAACGCCTGGACACCCAAACCTAATTTTTGTTTTTGATTTAAAAAAAAATGTAAAATACTTCCTTTAAAAATTCTTGAATAAAAGTTGCCATAAAGAGTAGGTATTGAAACTTGATAGTGGCATCCTTTCTTTGTTTATATCACGAAAACAAATTTTTTTAAGGATAATGATTTGATGGGCGTAAAATTCAGTGGTGTAATCCTTTTCTTAAAGTTATTAGTTCGTTTTCTTAAGATATTTTATATTTAAGTTTTTTCTTTCAATATTTTGCTTTATTTTCGAAAAAAGATAACATAATACATTTTAAAACGACTGTATTTATTTTTAATTCATGAATATTCGTCTTTTAAATTGATAACTTTCACGTTTAAGCCGATACCTTTAATTTTAAGTGTTTTTAATTTTATTTGATTTTTTGCATATCTTATTTTTTAGTAACAAAATTTGTTTTAATGGTTTTGATTGTCTGGTATTAGTCGGAAATATTCGAATTTAATAAAATTTGGGGATTTAATTTACGTGCTTTTGTTTATACTACAAATTTTACTATACAGGGTGTTATGTAATTAATGTTATATATTAAAATACTGAATACCTTTTGACAGAAGGAGTAAAGGAAAAATATTTAAAAAAATATTTTTCCAAAGATATAGAAAAAATATGCATTAGAAGTTTTTTATATTTTTTGTGATACGCCACTGGTTACACACTTGGTTTATCTCTGCACTTTGAGGACATAGATACCAAGCAACAAAGTAGCTGCGCGTTGCCAGATGTAAAAAATTGTTACTAAAAATTTTTCTTGCAAAAAATAAATAAAAACTCAATAAATAAAAAAGTTTTATGCCCTTAAAGCTCTAATACCTTCTGTATTTATTTACTCATCCAGCTATTAGCTTAAGCAATGATTAGAAAATTTAGTACCTATTTTAAAAAATCCATAACCACAAAATTAATTTTTTCATCAGTTTTTTTCTTTCTGTTTACTCAGATGAAATTGGGACCAATTCACAGGTTAAACTTTAAACATTTAATTTGTGTAAATAAATCCAAAAGCACTTCCCTTAGTTAAGATATTTACAATTTGAGCACATAACCTAAAATTCACAGAACATAAAATTTGAAAGAAATGCACTAGATTCTGTCATAAAAGTTGTCAGATTTTGTTCGAATTTACCTTCAGTACAAAAATGACATAACCAACAATTAATAAAAACGCCAAATTGACAATTTGCATTGTTCATTTTGTCATTTTTGTAATTAAACTAAACTTAAACAATGTTTGTCAACTTTTTTGACAGATTTTGGAAACACTGTTGTTACCAACCATAACATAATAAATTAAATTAAAGTTCCTATTCGATCAGTGGCGTACTTTTTGGTAGGATAAAGGTTATTATAAATTATTTTTAGACTTTGGTATTTAGAAAATAAAAGTTTCAGGTGCTTCTTTAAGGACCCTAAGGAACAACCCATTTTAATATATAACATTAATTACATAACACCCGGTATTGTATATCTAAACTAAAAAGTACAGCCTATTATAGCCTATTATACAGGGTGTTATGTAATTAATGTTATATATTAAAATGGGTTGTTCCTTAGGGTCCATAAAGAAGCACCTGAAACTTTTTTTCTAAATTCCAAAGACTAAAAATAATTTATAATAACTTTATCCTACCAAAAAGTACGCCACTAATCGACTACGAACTTTAGGCTAATCTGTTTGCCTAATTTAATTTATTATGTTATGGTTGGTAACAACAGCGTTTCCAAATTCACATTGTTTAAATTTACCTAGCTTAATTACAAAAATGACAAAATCAACAATGCAAATTGTCAATTTCTCGTTTTTATTAATTGTTGGTTATGTCATTTTTAGAGACCGGATAAATAAGCACAATTTTTTAAAAAAAAAGTGCTTAAAAAAGTATCAAAATATTAAATAAAAAGCATGAAATTTGCCAAAAAAGCACCAAATAAGCAAGTTAATTAAAAATAATTAATATATAGGGGCAAAAAAGTTGTAATAATCTTAATATTGGTGTTTATTATTTAAATGATACATTTTATTATTTTTACATTATATCTATTATTAAGACCTAAAGGAATGTATAACTAGATGTTTCTCCAAATTTTCTATAGTAAAATTATGTCTTCTGTCTGTTAAAATGTTTTTGTATGCAGAAAAACTTCGCTCCACATCCACACTGGTCATTGGTGCATATTTAAATTTCGGGATAATGGCTGGATCCATTTCAAAATCGGAATATATAAAAAAATAATCCCATACTAGATTGATTAAAATAAAAAAAACACTATCTAGGCGGCTTTTTATTGAAAGGAAACCATTACAGTATTGGGTTGAGAAAGTAGAATGTAAAGTCGAATAATATTTTAGAAATTAAAAGTTGTATTTTATTCAATTTATTTTATTTCATCCTTAAAATTTTCATGTATACCTTAAAGTAATTCAATTTAAGTCAAAAAGGAAATCTCTTCAAAACCATAAAATAAAATCAGTAATTTTTAACAATAAATAAATACTATAATTTTACTTATAGTTTTAGAACATGCTTGACAAAAGACCTTTTTATTGTCAATTTTTAGTTCCTTGTGACCACTAATCCACTCTTCAATGGTTGGCTTTTGTTTTGGCATTGTCTAAATAATTACCACGTACAGCAAATAAAGCGCAAGCACAATAATAGAACCCGGTAGCGTATCGTGTATCTTAACTAAACATTAAAAAGCACGCTACACAGTAGCTTCTTCCGATCGAATACTAACTTATATTAATTTACTATTTATATAAATGATGGTTTTAACAGGTAACATTTTTAGTACAATATTGGGGGTAGATTAAAGGAACAATAATTATGGGAATGCCCTGTATCTTTATAGTTATATAACACTAAACTATTTGAATATATTAAAATAAATTTAATAACGGGGAATTATTGGTATCAATTTGGTCATTGAGAATAATATCAGTTTTTTTTCCATTAATTTGTTAATTTCCATAGACTCTAATAAATTTAGTTTCATACTTTTGTTTTCTATATGTAAGATTTTGAAGTTAGAATTAAACAGTGTAGTTTATATTAACATATTATTAACATGGAGTTTCATCAAGTAAAAGTCGAAACAATTAATTTAAAAAAATGTATAAAAACATGGAAAAAAGTTTAAATAAGCACGAAATCGAAAAAAAGCATAAAACCTTAAAAAAAGCAAAAAATTAAGCAATAAGCATCATGCTTAAAATCCGGTCAAAAATGACTCATTTTTGTACTGAAGGTAAATTCAAACAAAATCTTCCAACTTTTATGACAGAATCTGGTCCATTTCTTTCAAGTTTTAGGTTATGTGCTCAAAATGTAAATATCTTAACTAAAGGAAGTGCTTTTGGATTTATTTACACAAATTAAATGTTTAAACTTTAACCTGTGAACTGGTCCCAATTTCATCTGAGTAAACAGAAAGAAAAACCCGATGAAAAAAATTAATTTTGTGGTTATTGATTTTTTAAAATAGGTACTAAATTTTCTAATCATTGCTTAAGCTAATATCTGGATGAGTAAATAAATACAGAAGGGTATTAGAGCTTTAAGGGCATAAAACTTTTGAATTTTAAAGTTTTTATTTATTTTTTGCAAGAAAAATTTTTTGTAACAATTTTTTACATCTGGCAATGCGCAGCTACTTTGTTGGTTGGTATCTATGTACTCACAGAACACAAGTGTGCAGAGATAAAGCAAGTGTGTAACCAGTGGCGTAATCAATTTGGCCTTTTTATTAATTGTTGGTTATGTCATTTTTGTACTGAAGGTAAATTCAAACAAAATCTGCCAACTTTTATGACAGAATCTAGTGCATTTCTTTCAAATTTTAGGTTATGTCCTTATATTGTAAATATCTTAACTAAGGGAAGTGCTTTTGGATTTATTTAAACAAATTAAATGTTTAAAGTTTAACCTGTTAACTGGTCCCAATTTCATCTAAATAAACAGAAAGAAAAAAACCAATGAAAAAATTAATTTTGTGGTTATGGATTTTATAAAATAGGTACTAAATTTTCTAATCATTGCTTAAGCTAATAGCTGGATGAGTAAATAAATACAGAAGGATATTAGAGCTTTAAGGGCGTACAATTTTTGTATTTATTAAGTTTTTATTTATTTTTTGCAAGAAAAACTTTTAGTAACAATTTTTTACATCTGGCAACGCCATGGGCGCCGCTACATAGGGGCATGGGGGGGCCCGGGCCCCCCCTGGAAATTCATACCCAGAAATTCCGGTACTCCATAATTTGACGGTAAGTGCTGATCGTTATCATTTGTTCATTATATTTTAATTTAACATAATTTGTATAGCGTATACATAAGACGGCTGTACTACTAGAGGAGATTCCTCGGCGATACAATTTTTTTATATTTATACAAGGTGTCCCTAAACTTAGTGGCATACATTTAGGAGCAGATTAAGCAAGTCAAAATAAGACGAAAATCCAAATAAA